TAGCCAGCATCCAGCGTGAGCGGCCAGCAGCCGCAGTGAGTGGCCGTCAAGAAGCCGGCGACTGATCTGCCTCGCCCAGGAAGAGTGCAATGATTGTGCCAGCTTGGGCCAGTGAAGCAACATCCTCCACAACTAGACTGAAGAACAAAAACGACAGCAACTTGTCTGTTCCCCTTCCCCCGATTCCCCAGTGCTGTTCCCCTCCCCCAACTCCCCAATTAAAAAAAACAAAAACAAAAAACAAAGTTATAGTAGCCTATATTAAAAAAAAAAATTTAATTCTCTCCCTCTTATAAGGCCATGAATCCTATCTAATTAATATTCCATCCTTATGACTTAGTTTAACCTAAATTACATCTTAAAAGTACTATCTCCAACTGCAGTCACATTGGGGGTTAGGGTTTCAATGTATGAATTTTGGCAGGGGGACAGAATTCAGTCCATAGCAATATCTATCTAAATAGGATCCAATTTCTTTCCAGCTTCTATTTTGATTATTTTATGCCTTTCATTGCCTAAAAATATATCCATTAATTTATTCAGCAAATATTTGAGTACCCAATCTGAACCAGATACTGTGCTGTAGACACAAGTGGAACAATGGTGAACAAGAGTGATAGGTCCTGGGAGTCATGTTGCTTACATTTTAATAGGAGTAAGGACAATAAGTACACAAATAAATGGATAAATAATATTAGATTGTGATAAGTATTAAGGAAAGTAAGAATATAACGATATATGTGAATTAATTAATATTATATGTTTAATAATATATGTCAACAACCTGCAATTTTAAAGAAGGCTCATAAAAACAGAACATTATATTATCTCATATACATTAATGTGAAATTGAAAACTCATTGTTTCAATAAAGATATTGAGCTTCATAAAAAATGAAAAGACAGGAGGGCTGGCCGAGTGGCTCAGTTGGTTAAGAGCTCACTCAAGGGTTTGAGCTCTGAGCAACAGCGGTTCGATTAGCTGCCAACAGGTAGCAGGATGGCTCACCTAAAACAAACAAACAAAAATGAAAAGACAGGGAATAGAAATTGGCAGATGTAAACAGGCTTGTTTTAGAGTGGTCAAGGCTTTTTTGAGGAGATTATATTTGAGTGGAGATATGAAAAAAGAGCTCAGGCCATATGAATATCTAAAGCACGAGCAGTCCTGATAGAACAGCAAACGCAAAGGCCGTGGGCTGGGGTCAGAGCTTTGGATGTTTGAGGAACAGCAACAAGGCTAGAATGATCAGGATGAGTATTCAAATGGTAAGTGAAAAGTAGAATAACAAGATGAAATCAGAAAATTGGACCAGGGCTATAACATGTAAAGTTTTGTATAGTATAGGGGAACATGTGTGACTTATTTTAAGTGCGATAGGAAGCTATTGGAGATTTTTGCGAAGAGGAATGACAGGAGTTGATTTGTCTTGTAATTATCACTCTGGAGAATAGATTGAATAGGGGCAAGAAGGGCAGTAAGTAGGAAGACCATTCGAAACCTATTTCATTTGTCCCGATGGAAGATGATAGTAGTTTTGATTAGAATGGTAGTGGAGCGATGTTAGATTCATGGTAGACTTGCCCAGTACATTCTGGACTGCTCCTCTGTCTGGGTGCTCTTCTCACCTTACTTGGACTCTTAACAACATGCACTAGACTGACCCCAGAAGCGGATGCCCTCTTTACCCAGATTGGACTCCTCACACAGCCTCCGTCCCCAAGTGTGGATAAGCTCAAGATGCTGTGTTCAATCTTAGTTGCGGGTGGGCGTAGCCAACCATCCCAGGCAGAAGTCAAACCAGCAGCCTTGTTAAGAGCACATGCTATATCCACTGAGTCATCTGGATGGCAGCTCAGCTCAAGGTGTTGAGTTCAGTCTTAGTGTGGGCAGACGTAGCCCACCATCGACCTGGCAGTCTTGTTGTTAGGAGCACGTGCTCTCACCAGCTGAGCCATCCTGCCAACAGCTTAGCGGCAGCTCAGCTCGGGCGCAGCGTCACTGGCCCATGTGGGAATCAAACTGGCAGCCCTGTTGCTCAGAGCTTGCGCTTGTAAGCTAACTCTTAACCAACTGAGCCACTTGGCCGTCCCCACATCTTCGTCATATATTTATTTATTTAAGGTTTTACTGGGGAATTGGGGGAGGGGAACAGTGTTGGGAAATTGGAGAAGGGGACCAGCCAAGTTGTTCTTCAGTCTTCATTGTGGAGGGTGCCAGTTGCCATCTGGCTGCCAGTCAGGTGCACCTGGTGTCCTGTAAGCTCAAGGTGCTGTGTTCAATCTTAGTTGCAGGTGAGCGAAGCCACCATCCCATGCGGGAGTCGAACCCAGCAGCCTTGTTGTTAAGAGCGCACGCTCTATCCACTGAGCCATCCGGGTGGCAGCTCAAGGTGCTGAGTTCAGTCTTAGTTGTGGGTGGGCGTAGTCCACTATCAAACTGGCAATCTTGTTACACCAGCTGAGCCATCCTGCCACCTGTTGGCAGCTCAGCGACAGCTCAGCCAGGCTCAGCGTCACTGGCCCCTGTGGGAATTGAACTGGCGGCCCTGTTGCTCAGAGCTTGCACTCTTAAGCCAACTCTTAACCAACTGAACAACTCAGCCGGCCCACATCTTTATCTTTTAATTGATGTATTTTATCTATCTATATTTAAATAATTTTCTTATATACTTGGGTTTATATCTACCATCTGCCTAATTTTTTCTATATGTTCAACATGTTCTTTTTTTTCCTCTCCTGCTTTTTTTGGACTAATCAAATATTTTTATTTGAGCTTTTGTCTCTTTAGTGTGTTAGTTATCCTTACTTTTATTTTTCTTGTTGTGGTTGCCCTATAGACTAACAAAAGCATTCCTTACTTCCTGCTACCTTAAATTAGTTCCTTTAAACCTTCCCAATATTATAGTGGTCTTAAAAACATTTTAGGGCCGGCCGAGTGGCGCGTTGGGTAGGAGTTGGCTTGGGATGCCAGAGGGCCCCGGTTCGGATCCCACATGAGGGCCAGTGACACTGCCCTCTGCAGCTAAGATGCTGAACAACAGCTCAACCTGGNGCTCCAGGTAGAGCTGTTGTTCACCATCTTAGCTGTAGAGGGCAGTGTCACTGGCCCTCATATGTGGGATCCGAACCAGGGCCCTGCTGCTCAGAACTGGCGTCCCAAGCCAGCTCTTAACCAATGCGCCATTCGGCTGGCTCCCTCGTTTTTAACTTACCTTAAATACCTATGGTTTGGTGAAAGAATTTGATCCCATTTGACTGCTCTAGGGAAAACTCTAAACTTCTCCACACACCTATTTCCCAAGTACATATGATGAGATTTAGTATTGGCTGGCCTCAGTCTTTGTGTGTAGAGGTCTTAGATATGTAAGGCTTTTAGGATTGGGTGGATTCGTTAGCGATGTGATTGGGGCCTTGTATTATAAGGCCTAAAATTATGTACTGCCTTGATATCTTTATCAAGTCTCCAAAGGCCTAACCATAAGTTCTGCTCTCACCAGATATGCCCACCATCCAGCAGAAAAGACCTGGCTAGTTCCCCTATAAGCCAGACCAGCTAAACCTCTCCTGGTCCTTAATAGAATGGGTTTCACTCCCCTGCCAGCCTGTAGAATTATGCAAACAAGCCAATTACATCCTCCCATGGGAACCAGGGAACACCTCACCCTCTTTTTACTACAAAGCCTACCTCCCACAGACCCTGCTTGTTCACTCTATTTTTGAATGCAACTGTGGCCCTGCATGATGTGTGGTGTCCTCTGCCTCTGGGCTGTGAGTGTATGTGACTACTAAACTACCGGCCATCTCATCTGTCTGGTGTTGGGTATTTAGGTATCTCATGCTCTCTAGGGTGAGGGATCCCTCCCTCACCAATGGATGAATAGGAGGTGGTCAGAACAGGACTGCAAATAGAGAGATCAGGAATCACACCTCAGGGAAACCCTGAGAGAAGAATACCAGGAGCAAGTCTGTTTTGTAGTTTTATAGGATGTGCTGGTCTAGAGCATGGTTTCTCAACCTTGGAGCTATTAATAGTTTGAGCCAGAGAATCTTTTATTGTGGGGACTGTCCTCTGCAGTGTAGGATGTCTGAAGGTATCCCTGGCCTCTACCAATTAGATGCCTATAACACTTAATACTCTCTGCCCCCAGCTGTGACAAATAAAATTGTCTCCAGACATGACCAGCTGTCTTCTGGGGAGTGAAGTCACTCCTCATTGAAAACCTCTGGTCCAGAGTGATATCGTCACGATTCAGTATCCTCAAACTCAGGAATGAGGAAAGGTGTTGAATGAGGGATGATGGATGATAAAGAGTGATGCATACATAAGTATTAGTTGATATAGACTGTGCGAGCTGAGGACGACTTTTGAGATTATATTGAATTAAAATATCTAAATACAAAAAAGATTGAATCTAATATATTTAAAATGTGGACTACCAGATAGCAAATTTTAGAAAGTTTACTAAAGAATTGGTCATAACAGGGAAAATGTTTATAATAAAATCTGACTCTATGATGAATTTTGAGTATGTTTTCTTAGAGATTTTATAGTATATTCAGGAGAAATTTTTATCAGTATTTTTTCATGATCATTAAAGGAAAAAAGGTAGTAGAAGACCTCATATTTCTTAAGGATTTATGGTGGAGACACAGAAGGCTTTGTGTACTGTTTTGTTTAATTGGGACTTTTTTTTGGGTTATTTTATTCATTTCCAGATATGTATAGGTAAAAATTTAATCTTAGCAGCAGCCACAAGACTATTCAACACATGTAGCACTCTGCTTGAGTGACACTAATTTTCTTACTACCCTCTGTGCATGTCCTAAGTTTTCAGCCCTACCCTATTTGCTGCTATGTGTCCCCCTCTCTGCAGTGCAACCTTCGATCTTTCCATTTAAAAAATATTTCATTTATTTTCTCAAGTAATACACAAGTTTGTTTGTTTGTTTGTTTGTTTGTTTGTTTGTTTGTTTGTTTGTTTGTTTGTTTTCCCCAGGGTTCAGTGACATTCAGTGACGTGGCCATAGATTTCTCACAGGAAGAATGGGAATTCCTGGACTCAGCTCAGAGGGACCTATACAGGGATGTGATGTGGGAGAATTATAGCAACTTCATTTCACTAGGTAAAGCTATTTATGCCAAACTATATTGTCCTTTTCTACTGTCAATTTCAGGACTATGTTTTGAGAAACAAGATAAATTTTGTCTTTCTGTTCCAAAGAAATGGTTCAAGCTTTGGTAGGTTAAAAATAGGCCCTTCCATTTAATACTTCATCACTCCCATCCTGCTAGGTCCTTCAGACTTTCTTTAGGTTCTGTAATTTCCTTGTTTTCTTAATATCTAAGGGGCTGTGTTTAAATTCTGGGTTGCTTACAACAGAAGTATTGTCCAAGAAACCAGATTTCACATTGTATTTGAGCTCAGAATTGATGTAGATGAGTAACACCCCCTGCAAGGAGAATACCTAGACACAGGGGTTCTGAATCTCTCAAAAAATTGGAGCCTATAGATCGTAACATAATATGGGATGGATCCACCAAGTTCATTTAAAACTGAGTTAAATGTTTAAATGCATTCTGTTTTCTATAATAGACATATTCAGTTCCACTTATTTTATAGTTGAAAGTTAAAATCTAAGGACTTTTCCTTGTAACATTGAATGAATATTCTAGAAAGGATATAGCAATGTCACAGGAAGACTGTTATTCTCCTTTAAGTGAAATTATAATAATAAAATGAATACTTAGTACATGCATTATGCGTGTATATACATATAATTATATATATTTGTGCTTAGCCCCATTCTGAGCATTGTTCATTTTTAATTAATGCTCACAACTCTATGAGAAATATACTATTATTATCCTCATTACAGATGAGAAAACTCAGGCACAAGACGTTAATAATTTGCCATGGTAACACAGCAACAATGGCAATATTTGAACCCAGGCAGCCTGGGTCCAGATTTTGTTTTCTCAGCCACTATACCAGACTGCCTCTTAGCAAAGCTTGTGTGAGTTTAAATTATGTTAAGGCCTGTTGTTAACTATTGGTGTATATTCCTTGTGCTCCTGAGGTTACCATAATGTGAGTGTTCTTTGACTCCCTTGCATTTCTTTGCTCTTCAGGTTTATAAAATACCATTTTGATCTGTAGTTAAACTATAAATTTAACCAAACCTGAATCTAAGAGTTTGTAATTTCATGTCACATTTTTCTTTTAAGCAGGACCTTCCATTTCTAAACCAGATGTGATTACATTATTGGATGAAGGAAAGGAGCCCTGGATAGTTGTGAGGGAAGGGACAAGAAGACACTACCCCGGTGAGTGAGGACTTAGTAGGTATAGGGAAGTCATTACTGCAGGTAATAGCCAAGCTGGCCTAGGGTAAAGGCACAACCTTTAGATGTTGTTGGGGAATCTCTCTTCAAAAGCCTGTGGAGGAAAGGCCTGAGAAGGGGGAAGCAAATTAAAATTTTAAGCCTGGACTAATGAAGGGACTTATGTGACCTTGATTACAAGTGTTTCTTGTCTCTCATATTTCCTTTCCACTTCAAAGGGAGGAGCTGTTCTCAGTAGAAGGGAAGAAATGATAAATATAAAAGCTGAAGTCAACAAAATACAAAAGGAAAAGAAATAGAGAAAATTAATAAAACTAAGAGTTAATTTCTTGAAAAGATCAACCAAGTTGATAAACACCTAGCTTGACTAATCAAGAAAAGACAGTGGAGGAAGAGGGTTGTCACTTTGAGGGGTAAAAAGTATAACTACTGCACTGTGTTGTACAGCTGAAACTAGTTAAAAAAAAATGTATTTCACAATAAAGCAATCATTTTAATTAAAAAAAAAAGTAGAAAAGACAACATAAATTACTGTCAAGAATGGAAGAGGGGTTTTCAATTCATATCCAATAGCTACTGAAAGAATAGTAAGAGGATACCATGAATAACGTTATGCTAATAAATTTGACAGCTTAAATGAAATTGAAAAATTCCTTGAAAAATACAGTTTACCAGAATTGACACAAGATAAAAACGAAAATATGAATAACCTTATATCTATTAAAGTAATTGAATTCATTATCAGAAATCTTACCACAAAGAAAATGCCAGGCCCAGATGGTTTCATTGGTGAATTGTATTTAATATTTAAGGAAGAAATAACAGCAATATTATACACATTTCTGTAGAAAGAGAAAGAACATCTTCCAACTCATTTTATGAGACCGCATAACCATGACCTGACAACGATGTTACAAAAAAAAAAAAACAACAAAAATCACAGGCCCATATCCCTTATGTACATAGATATAAAATTTTTAACAAAATATTAGCAAATCAAATTCATCAGTATGTAAAAATGATAATCAAGTAGAGTTTATCGCGGGAATGCAAGCTTGGTTTAACATTCAAAAATTAATCAGTGTGGGCCGGCCGAGTGGTGCATTGGTTAAGAACTGGCTTGGGATGCCAGAGG